ACAATGTATGCGTAAAATTGTCCTATTTATAATAATTTCTTTAGAGCATTTCTATTCATATTGATCTACACCTAGATACAACGTATTTTCTGCATTCATGTATCTTTGTACATCTAAATTCTAATCTTACTAAAGAAACAACGGTAATTTGTTACAACAGATATAGAAACTAGTCTATATTTTATACGTGAACTCTTAATGCAAATTAAAAGAATATCAATTAAGTAAACTCGTTCGATCGTCTATGTTATTATTCAGTTATAGTAGATAGAAAAATAAAGAAAAAGAAAAAAAACGAAAAGAAGGTCGGTTTATACTCTATTCTAAATGGAATTTAAAGAATCTGTATTTAGTGTTATACATATTTCTCATTTTATTTTCTCCATAATTGTAATAAAATGTTTCTTTGTTGTGTATTTTTATGATGTTCAAAAATATAAAAAAAAAAAAAATATTTTATAAAACGGAAAATTGTATAAAAGAAATAAAAAGGCTTACCTATTGTTGAACTAGACCCTTCATTTTGTTTCCAATCGATTATCATTAAATAATTCAGTCGTATTCCTTCATTTTAAAACGAATTTTTGAACAGAAATAATTTTAGAGGTGTTTTCCAAGTTTGTACTAACTGAACTGTCTAAATTGACACGTTAGAACATTTTTTTTTTTTGTTCGTTTTAAACATTAACGAGATCAATTGATTACTTTGCACATTTGAAAACGAAATATGAGTATACCTAAATAGTAATTTGTAGACTACAAATAAAATATTCAGTAAAAATGTCTTATCATTGCACGATCAAATTCACACACTTCACATTCAAATTTTGGCACTAAATCAAACAATAAATAGTGTAACTTTATTATCACAATGTATAATAAACATTATTATTTCTAAAAGGATATAAAATACTTTATAAAGTATTTTCACACTGTAGATGCATACTTTATTTTCAACAGGATACAAGTAAATGTAAATCTAATCTCCGTTTGATTGTGACTAAACACTTCACTTTTTGAATCATGCTTATTGGCGGCTTTACTGACAGTTCAAATAACATATGTATATTTATCAGAGAAATTAATAGAAAAGAATAAAGTGATTTTTACATTATTTATATTTATTTTCACAATAAATATCAATTATTTTAACTTAATTAATTGTGTAATGTGTACATACTACAATAAATCTTCTGTTTTTATTCATATTAAACTTCTTAGTTTTCAAACCGATTGCATCAATTTATCAAATATAATTTTTCAAGATTTCATCTTTTATAGTTAACATTTGTTTCAGCACAAGAATAAAATGTGAAAATTGCAAAATCTTGTATATCCTTATCCTTTGTATATTGTATATAGTAGTTAATATCTTGTATATATGTATATATTCACGCTGAATCTTTCAAGTAGCTCACGTTAGTGAAGGATTGATTGTCGTCTGCCATCATATAACCTCCCTTGCATTTAAAGAAATGTAAGTAAATAATTCAAAGTATTCTGTAATATAACAATTCTATAAAGTAATGGTAGTACGATAACCTTTGTTTTTAATTCATTTTATGTGAAGCTATATAAATATTTATTTCAACATACTTATTTCATATAAATTCATATATTTACATATTTATATATTTATTTATATATTCATTA